GGGGGCCTGACGTCGACGTGTCCTATGTGTTCATGTATATTAATAAGTGAGTCCAACGTGAACTCCTTATTTGACTTTTCAATTACACCTTTAAATTTCTCTTTTAAAAACTAGTACTTCTACTTTGGAAAACCAATCTGCATCTTCTACTAAATTACTCCATTCTCTGGGCACCATCCCTTCCAAACTGTTCCCATGGTGACGTGCTGTTGCAGGCCGAGCACTGATGTGCTGCACGTACTGTAGAAACTAAGCCATAACAATGAGGCAATAAACATGTCCCAGTATTTCCAAAACAGGCACGTGAGTGATGACAAATACAAAGACGGAACCATAAACTTTGACACTACCAGTGATCTGTTTGACCATAAAGTTTCTCACGTATGACATGTTTACAAGAGATTCCAGCCTTGTCCACACCTTTCCTTATACTTAAGAGAAATAGACAAGATGTTTCCTGTGGGTGTGGGGGTAGGGGGCGGGGGACGTTACGCTCTAGCTGATTGTCTCATGAAAGTCTGCGTCTCATAGCATAGCATTATCTTCAACATCAGCTTGATGAGGACACAGCAACTTTAATCACTGCAATTATCTGATGTCAAGGCATCTGGTGAATGCATGCATTTGTCTCCACCAGTTTAAAAAGGATTTTGCTGCCATAGCTCAGTGCACCGAGTAGCTTTCTTTGAAGCAATACGTTAATATTTTAAACTGTCACTCATACCTACGCACCTTCAGCACTCAGAAGCACAATGATTTGTGGCCTCCAACTTCTAAAACTGAATGTCCATGTTGCTCATTAACATCATCAGTGAGGAGGACATCAGCAACATGAACTTTTATGGGGATAAACTATGCAGACCGCCTCTCCCCTTTTGTCATCCCACTGTAGGACGTGACTGCGCTTTGGTCTAATGGGCTCCATGTAGCTCCGGGAATGTACTTGAGGAATGTGTTAGTGTATTTGAAGATGATGCTGTTAAATCCGTCAGGTTGCTTAGGTGCCCGGTACAGTTTGAGCAACCACATGTCATATCGACACAAGGCCATTGCCAGCTCAGATTTTGTATTACTTGGGATTTTGTATCATTGGCATTTTGATTCAGTGTAGTCTCATTTTTGTTGTTCTTGTGACCATTTCTGATGATTAAAATGAACTTACCCCTGAGAACCACTGGCAGAAGATACTATTTACATAAGCCTTTTTCCACCCCCAGTACTATCAGTCTGTGTAAAGCCTAACTTTTTTTGGCCACATATTACTTTCTGTCCTTATTTAAGCACCATGCCAAAGATTGTTTTTCTTATATACTTAGGAGAGTTTATTGCATTTCCTTATCTTTTAGTTTAAAAAAGGAAATACACACCAACAGCAGAGAAACTCTTATCATTCCAATGAATTATTGACTCAGTGACTGAATATTGCCTTGTGTCACGCTTTATGATTTTATTTACTCTTAACCAGGAATCACCATCCAGGAACTTGTGCATTTGTATATATATTATCTGTGCTATTAATTATATTGACAGATCCACACAAGCTGTCAAAGAGGTGCTTTGATTTTATTTTTAGCACCTTTTTTCCATTCTAGACAAAGGGAATGACTGAAGGAGTTATATGAGGATTGTGGGTGGCAGTGGGGAGTGCAGGAATAAACAAGCTTGCCCTTGACTTTGCATTAGCTGTCAGAGTTCCAACAGGATTCATCACTATCAGCACACAGGGCAGAGCTGGTAAGCTCCCCTGCACACCCATGTGTCACTTCCTCATGAGAGCAGGAATGATTAAAAGGCCTTACAGACTGACTGGAAAATACCAAGTCAAATTAGGAGCATAATACTGTTGTGATGTCCCCAAGAAATTCATCTGAAGGCATAGCTTCATGGCACTCATTTTCATCCACAGTGTAGGCTGCAGTGTGGCATACTGATTTTGTTTAAGCTTTTACTTCCTTAAGTTAAATTACTTTAACTATGGCCCATTTGCATTATTAAGCTGTAGCTGTCCAGTGACCAACCAGTGCCATTTAAAGAAATGACTGGCATCAGTTTGAGTAAGAATACAAAAGAACAGTATATTAAACAAACTGGGTATATTGTAGACAATTGTAGATGGATAGTGTTTCCTAAGCTTGCTATGGAAAAACAAGATAGGTCACATTTTCTAGATGTAGCTACCTTCAGCTGTATGTGTATTCTCTGTTATAAGTTGAGCTGATTATGGTTTGATTATGACCTGATTATGACCCTTTGAAAGTTGCATTGCTCTGAACAAATCCACTATTTCTATTGATATAGGCTCGATCCACCCACCCACCCACCCATCCATCCATCCATCCATCCATATTCATCCATTAACCCATTTTCTTTGATTTTCACGGGTGTGCTGGGCCCAATCTCAGCTGCCATAGGCTGAGAGACAGTAAGCACCCCGGACACATCACCAATCTGTTGCAGAGCTAACACAGACAGAGAAGCAGACAACCACTGACTTTCACATCAACACCTGAGAACCACCAGTTAACCTAACCCCATGCATTGGAGTGTGGGAGGAAGCAAGAGTACATGAGAGAACCCACGCAGTTTCAGGGAGGACATGCAAAATCCAAACAGCAAGAATCCAGGACTTTCTTGCTGTCAGGTAACAGTGTTAACCACTAATTTGCTTGACTGCTTATATGTAAACATGTATTACCATGGCACTAAGAACCTGCCACTAAGATCAGACCGATCCATTTATAAGTAGTACTGAATTTAAAAGTTGTTGCATTAAAACAGACCATTTTTGTTTTTCATTGGTTAAGATACTTGTGCCTTTGTTCAGTGAGTTTTCTGCTGCATCTATGGTGGACAGAGTTTGCAGTGATTCCTGGGTTTTGAGCATTATGTGGTGTGCATATATGAAGAGAGGTTCAAGGAAATTGAATCACTGCTCTGATTCACAGCTGGATTGCGGGTCCCGTGGCACAACCAAGCACTCTTTTCCAGAGACATGGATCCATGCTAAGCTGACATAACACCGATCCATCATTTGTGGCTAAGGAGACTACGTTGGAAAGCTGACAGCTCATTATGTTTAAATACCCACACGATTTGTTGTATCCTCAGACTGGATCTGCTGTAATATCACAACTGTTATGTAGATTTGTGAACTCAAAAATTGTGTACATTTAATGTTAGTAGCACTGTATTTTTTGATTTCACTGTGACTTAGAAATATAAGCCATTTTTGCACCCTGCCTCTTTTGGAGCTATCTGGTGATAACAAGCCAGGTGGTCTCTTCCTCTTTCATAAATAATGCTTTCAAGAATTTCAAGTTTTTAAGTACAAGTGGGTGCCTTCTCTGTGTGCTGACCATTAAAATCCTTCCCTGTATGGCTCTGGGATATTTTCCTCTTGTGTGTAATCCCAGTACAGAACTGGAACATAAGAGATTAGTGCATGCACCTTGATGTGGCCTGGTACACTAGTCAAACTTATTAGGCTAACTGACACTCAAAAAGAAGTTTTGGGGCTTTTCAATGACCTCTTTGATATTGAAGGGGATTTTCGGGTTATATTAGCTAGCTTGACTAGAAGATTCTTTCAGAGGTCTTTCATTCTTCTTTCTTGTATCTGGAGTCTGTTTGGACAAATGTTCAATTCATAAAGGAATAATGGAAATTATTAATGGAATGTGCACTTTATTGAAAAGGAAGTTGTTCTTTACAGACGGGACACTGTCAAGATAGTGAAAACTGTATCAACAGTAACATGATTTGTTTGTATTCAGTGTAAATAAATGGCTCTGATGCTGTTAAAGTACTTTTAAAAAAAAAAGTTGTACCTCCTCAGTTATTCACTTGAGTTTACTGCTTGGAGACAGCTTGGGTGCCACACAAAACCCAGGTGTTGAGCTCATGAGAGCTGTTTTCATGTGTGTATTATTATCTCTGTAAAATCAACAGATGGGGTCGCGGAAGGAAATGGTTTTGCAAGAGAGCTGGCAAAAGGCTTTTTGGCACGTGATTTGGATAAACAACTTTCCCTGAAACTGCACTGGGGAGATGCAGAGTGACAGATAAATGTGCTATGCAAACTGGGCTTCCTGGATTGTGTGCCATTTTGTTATTGGTACCTGATGAAACATGGTCATCCCTGATGAATGATGACACTGTGTGTGTCTTTCTTTCAGTGTATCTCTATTTTAGGTCTGAACTTAGGTCTCACGTTGCAAGTCCAGTGTTCATCTAAGTATAAACTTAAAGACTGTACTTCTGAGGTAATTTATAAGAACTTATGTTGTTTTGGCAACACACATTTCAGCCCTCACACGACCCATGCGTGTTAATGGATGGTATGTGCAGTTGAAAGTTGTAAACAAGGAAGTGATCTGTATGATCTGTTCCATATGAGGGAGTAGTTATTAACTTCTTGAGCTCCTGCTTTAAGGCAAATGCTCTCATTCTCATCTAAAAAAGATAAGAGCTTTTTTTATGTGAAGCCACCTGACCCACCTTCCCTTATGACATTAACACAAGCAACATCTAGATTTCATACCCATCTCATTTGTTGTGTATTTCACTCATACACCTTTCACACCTTTGCCCTGATCAATGGGATGTGAAAAAGTCCCCCCGAAAATAAAAAATAATCAAAGAGGTATAGTGTAAGAACAATTTGGATTTCCTGCTTGCTTTGGTGTTAAATTCACTGCTTATGTTTGGTGCAAATTAAAATAACAGGACTTGAAAACTGTAGCCGATCTCTAAAGCAAAAACATCGATGAAACCTTCAAGTACAGCAAACTTAAAAAAAATCTCCACTGTTTTGTTTTGTATGAAGCATTTTTCATGTTCTACCCTCCCCCATGTTTTCTCTCCTTCCTCTTTGTTTGCTTGATCCTCTCCTAGGTATCTCGTCTCCTCCCAGCGACAGCTGCGTGTTTCTGATTGGGTGATTTTGGAAGAGGGGTGGGGCTTGCTCACTGCTTCTGCTGTTTTCTAGCAGGCGGATCAGCCTAGCCGTCAGTTTCGGTAAAAGGAGGCGACGAGTGTGGTCGCTGCTTACGCTGCTTGAATTACTTCAGGCAGCTTGTAGGAGCTTTATAATCATTTTTTTACTAAATGTACAAGCACAACGAACATACCGCTTAGTCGGCGAGCCTTATAATTTGCTCTCCGGGAAAGGAAACTAATCGGAATACGGGATTTCGTCGTCCTTCCTGTTCAGCCCTTTGTTTTTTACTGCTTCGGTCAAGTGGGAGAGCAGCAGCGCCCCCCTGTGAGCGAACAGGAAACAGCCTGAGGATAGGGAGCCAAACGAGCGGCCGAGCCTCTTGCCTCCCGTACGACGTGGGCCCCCCCAGCTCAGCTGTCCGATGCGGGGTGAGGATGAGTCCCGCTCTGGAAGCCCTCATGCAGGCGGAAGGGACTCCTTATCCCGGAAAAGGGGTGATGCTTGAGCCGTTCGTGCACCAAGTGGGGGGCCACTCTTGTGTGCTACGGTTTGGGGAACAGACAATTTGCAAACCCCTCATCCCCCGAGAACACCAGTTCTATAAGAGTCTCCCACCAGAGATGAGGAAGTTCACCCCTCAATATAAAGGTGAGTCTGTGCATCCCAAATATGAACTATTGAGCTGCCCGTTAGAGCAGCATGCATCTTTTAATTTTCTCACCTCTGTGCATGCGTTATATAAGAGTCTCATGGGTGCTTTTAATATTGCATTGCAAAAAAACAAAACTTCTATTACATGAAATTTTGCGCTTATTTGCCGTTGCAATACCTTAAAGTGCATTGTGTACACAACAACACTACAGAATGTATGTTGAATATTTGTAAGCTGATTGCATTGGCTTCAAAATAACTCACGTTACATTGTCAGTCATGTTGGAGCCTTTGGCAGACACAGCTATCCGTTTTCTGGCTATATCCCTCATGTGCAAGGCAGGGTTTCAAGTAGCGTCAAACCTAATGGCTTGACTTCCTGCCAAGAGAATGAGTAGCCAGAGTATCCAGAGGTCTTTGACTGTGTGACGCTTTTAAGGCAGCTATAGTTTCAAGATGCGTATTGGAGGGCCACGGCAAATCTAAAATAACTGCGGCAGATCACCAGAGTAATAATTTACAAGTCATTTGAGGAGATTTCCAGGTCTGGTTTCAGGGAACGACACGCATAAAGACTCACACACACACAGACCTGAAGCAGGAATGCTATGTTCCCTGGTTGCATTCAGGTCCACAGTCTCTCACAGTTTCCCCTACAGACAATTACACCTAGTACATGCTGATACGGAGATCTTCAGGCAGAGATCTTTTGACGTGATGTGTGGTAACTGAATCCACGGCCATGCAGCATGGGGCTATAAAAAGGTCCTGGATATGGAATGGGATGTGAGGAGCTAATAGTATAGTAGACGTCTGGGGCCTTCAAATGCTCAACGCCACTAGCATTTTCCAGTCTTACATTTCACATTATGATGAGAGACGGGGAAAGAGCTGTGTTCTTCTAAAGGAATGTAAGGTTCCTTATCCGCGATTGTAGATAAATGTGTCTCAGCAGTATCTGATGATTTAGGGACATCTTGCAGTGGAATACTGGATTGGAAACATTAAGACTTTTGAGCAGATGTAGATTAAATTTATAAGTTAGGGGTCACTTATGTTGTGTAGAGGATACTATATTGCAATTTAATGTCACGGCACTGACCTGAAAAAAGATTGGACAGGAGCGTTTGTACCTAATAAAATGATATTGATAGCAATAATAATGTCTAAGTCAGTTTAGCCCTACTCCTGTACTACATTCGATTTGCGCAACTGGGGCGCAATAATCGCGCACTTGATATAAGTTTATCACAAATTTATGAGCCTTTTTATTGAAAGAAACTCTGAGTGACTCATAAGTTCCTTTGCTGGCTGCAGTGGTGTAATGACAGTGCAGTGCTGAGGCACACATTCCTTCAGAGGCGGGGCTTCCTGCAGACTGATGACGTCAGTGCGCATGACATAAGTCAAGCCTCCGCCTGCGTAGAAGGATGGCACCCATGATCCCGGGGCCTGCCATTTAACATCCAAATCCAGTGCCATGTTATTTGCATGGCTGTTTTTTGTTGTTTGTTTTTTGGTCATTGTAATAAACTGTCATTTAATTTTCTAATTCAGTGGCTGATTTGTAATGAGTCCTACTGCTGCTTGGTTTTGGTATCGTGTTTTGTGTCATGTAACTTGGATGTTACATCCAGATCTAAAACAGTTCCTCTTGAACTGTTTCGTCCACATCCCCTCCCTCCTTCCTGTCTGTGGTTGATCTGTTTCGGCCTTTGCAGCTGTGATGTTTATTCTCAGTGCAACACCTCCCCCACTCTGCCTGCAATACTCAGGTCCTTGTAGGGAGTTTTATTTTGGGGGGGGGTGACCCCGGTGGCTTTTTGCGGGTCATGTCAGAAATTAGCATTGGCATCAAAGTACACTGGGTTTTTTTTTTTCCCGCTGAAGGCCTTCCAGAAACATCCATTAGTCCATGAGTTTATCAAATTGTGTTAATTATTACTAACTGAAGCCCTCAGAGCACAATGTGGTAGTGCATTTGAAATATGAACTATGTAGATATACTTGCTGCTTAATATCAGTAGTCTATATTCTTATCTGTGTGTCTGAATCATTATGATTTGACACTTTAAAACTCTATCATGCTTTAACTACTACAGTGTTACATTTTCTATCTCTTTTACTCATGGTGGATCATATAGTTTTCTTTGTGCAATTGTTTTTTCAAATTGTGAGAATTTGTAAAAGTAACAAACATGAAGATAAAACCTCTCCTTCTATTTCTCTCTCTCTCTCTCTCTCTCTCAGGTGTAGTTTCAGTCAGTTTTGAAGAGGATGAGGAAGGGAGTTTGTGCCTCATCGCCTACCCCCTCCACAGCGAATCAGGGGACCTAGAAAACAAAGACCCCTCAACAGACTGTGAGCCCAAGAGCAAGATGGTGAAGTGGAGCAACAAAAAGCAATCCCCTTTGGGCCCTGAGAATGACAACTATAGCAAAGACAGAGGTAGACACAGTCGTAAAGAAGACAAGATTATGAGGTAAGAGAGCACCTTTACTGTTTCACGGAAATAAGTCATGTTGAAGACGTGTATTGTTATGAAGCTCTGTAGCGCTGAAGCTGATGTCTTTCTTCGTTCTCTGCTCTGCAGTTATAATCGTGATGAGATGCAACAGCAGGCAGAGGTACTTTACTTTAGCCTGGAAAAAGGCAATGTGGTGTCACAGATCAAACACAACCCCTGGAGTCTCAAATGTCACCAGCAGCACTTACAGAGGATGAAGGAGAATGCAAAGCACCGTAACCAATACAGTATCCTTTTACCACATGCTTGAAGATATGAGAATTCTCAGTGTCTGCTGAAGTGGCTGAAGTGTTCCCTTTTTTTGCCATGTGATCCTTGACTCTCCCTTTACAGAATTTATCCTTTTAGAAAACCTTACATGGCGCTATAGAGTACCGTGTGTCTTAGACTTGAAGATGGGAACTCGTCAGCATGGAGATGATGCATCAGAGGAAAAGAAAGCCAATCAGATTCGAAAGTGTCAACAGAGCACATCTGCATCTATTGGGGTGCGACTTTGTGGCATGCAGGTAAAGTATATTTATAAATGAAACCATATATACGTGTGGGGGTTTTTGTATTTACTTGTTTATGTGCCGCTGTAGTGCTTATGTTGCTGTGGTACCTTTGCAGGTGTACCAGTCAGAACCAGGCCAGCTGATGTTCATGAATAAATACCATGGGCGAAAACTGACTCTCGCAGGCTTCAAGGAGGCTCTCTACCAGTTTTTCCACAATGGGCATCGCTTGCGTCATGAGCTGCTGTCTCCAGTGTTGCGGAGACTTCGCGAAATGCAAGCTGCCCTCGAGGCCTGCGAGTCTTACCGCTTCTACTCTAGCTCCCTGCTCATCATCTACGATGGCGACCCTCCCAGGGCTCCCACTAGACCTAGACATAGAGGTGGGGAGGAAGGTGATGAGGATGAGCCATCTGATGAGGAGGAGGAGGAAGAAGGTGCCTTTGGTTTCCCTCGCTCCTCCTCTGCGGGTGTCGGCGCAGGTGTGTCCGGAGGGAGCAGCAACAGTGGCGGTAGTCGCTCATCCCACAGCGCAGGAGAGGCTAGTAGCCCTGTGGTGGATGTACGCATGATTGACTTTGCTCACACCACCTGTCGCCACTATGGAGAAGACAGCGTAGTGCACGAAGGCCAGGACAGTGGGTTCATCTTCGGCCTCCAGAACCTGATCACAATCATCTCTGAGCTCGAGGATCACAGTGCAGACTGAGGCTGGACTTTAGTCAGCATGGTCTAAATTTTAAGCGTGGGATGAGCTCACTGAGCTGAAACCCTGCTACACCAAGATGCATTATCCCTATGCCTATGTAGGGGTCTGCTTGGTGGGAACGTTGGACGCCTCTGCGTGAGGGGATAGTTTCAATGGTGGTACCTGTGGTCTCACTCACCTGCCAGAGGATTGGGCTGCCTGTGCCCTTTTTGCACTTTTCAGAGACTGCTCCTTTTTTTTTTTTTTTTTTTTTTGTAACACATGATAGGAGAAGTGTAGTATGAGAGAGGTCCTTCAACAGAGACTTCTGTAGCATCCTAGGGCTCTTTTCCCTCCTCTCGCCCCCTGGTACAGATACAGTTCTTTATTGTTAAGTTCTCTCTGAGAGAGAAAGCCTGAGGCAGAGAACATTGAAGCTGTAGGTAACTAGAAACCTGTCGTGGTGCTTTACCTGTGATACTTTTTTTTCCCCTTGGGATGTCGCTTTGACTGCTGGTCCCCAACAGCACAACACAATCATGGGGAAGCTGATTGAACAAGCTGACCTTGGCTGGCTGGGTCAGCAGCCTTGTAGCAAATGAGAAGCTTACATCAAATAAGGACATTTTGTGTCTATTAAGACCCTTATATGGTTTGTGTGTTCAAGTAAGCACTTGGATTTACACTTTTTGGTGGAAGAATATTATTTAGTTCAATAAGAAGGGATCTGCCTTTTTCAACAGTTGTTCCCCTGTACTTATTGCCTATAAACAAAAGACTTTTTGGAAAGGGAATATTATCCTTTTTTTCTGGTCATTATCTTTTTCCTCTTTTTCATTCCTGAAAATTTGACTTGACAAAGAGAATATATTGATAAAACACTAAAAAGACTATAGACTATTTATTTCAACGGATTGTTAAAAATGTAAACAAGTACATTCCATATTACCACTTTAAATGTTACGTCCTTCTTATACAGACTTGGATTTCTTTTGTTATTGGAAGAGCTCTCTTGTATAACTGTGTGTTAACAGTATCTTGAAAATAAAGGCATTCATTGAGATAAAATTCATTGTCTGTGGTTTGTGTTTATAGTATGTTTGGGGTTTGAATTTCAGAAACAAGTATGGGTTATGAAATAGATCGTGAGGATCCTAATGTGTGCCAAAAACTGTGTACTTTTGACTAATAGCAGTACTTCCAGTTCCCAGTTTTGATTTGGGAACACAGACACCCTCTGCCAGTGTCAAGATTAAATCTTTCCTTTTCGATAAAGGATGTGGTTAGAGCTGGATCAGGTGACCCTGAACGATTCCTTAGTTACGCTGCAATAGGCCTTGGCTGCTGGTGACTTCCCAGGATACAATAAGGTTTTCTTCAGTCACCTCCTTTTACTGCATGTGTTTATACACTGCTGTGAATTTCATCACTAGTTATTATTAAACTCTGGCTCTCTCTCCTGAAGTCTGTCTTATGTTCTGTGTCCCTCCCCTGATCAGCAGATGGCTGCCTCTCCATGAGTCTGGTTCTGCCTGAGGTTTCTTCCTGTTAAAAGGGACTTTTTCCTTCTCACTGTTGCCAAGGCCTTTCTCATGGGGTGGTAGGGGTCATCTGATTGCTGGGTTTTCTCTGTATTACTCCACGGTGTTTACTGTACAGTTTTAATCACCTTGAAGTGACTATTGTGATTTGGCGCTATATTTAAAAAAACAACAACAACCTGAAATGAAATTGTTTGTGTTGACTATCATCTGCATTTGAACTGGAGACATCATATTTAGATCACAAGTGAGGTCATCTGTGAGGTATTGGATGTTTTCATAGTGCACTTAATGTTCCAGTGTGAATGAATCAAACTTGAAGCTGCACTTCAATACACCTAAGGCTGTCAAAGATTGAGGAAGACGTGACTCATAATTATCAGTAAGAGTCATTTGCTGAACTGGAACTGCTAGAATGGGGAAAAGATCAAATATCACAATGCTGAAACTAGACCTGCTGTAAAACTGTAAAATAAGGAATCAATGGTGTGGAAAACATGCGTCTTTTTTTTTTGCACCTGATACTATGAGTTTTTCCATCCATTATCCATTGTTCATATTAGGCAGGTACAAACAATGCTTTCTTTTATGAAAGTAACATCTCTCCTTAGTGCTGTATAGTACAAAAAGAAAGGAGTCGTTGTTTCAAAGAAAAAGCATGTTTTCATACTTGAAAGTGTAAACGTAACTAAATGAAGTGCAGTGTTAATGTAGCATAAAAACATTAACCTTCACAAAGCAAACAATTATTTTGAGTTGAGACCATGTTGACAAATGACAAACAGTTTTTGTGCACAAGTTGAACTTCAAAGGATCATTTTTCCTAAGAGAGTTCACTAGAGGTGTGAAATTGTGAACATAGGATTGCTTTTTGACCACACAGAGACAAATGTTTTTTCTCTGAAGAAGTCTGGGATTTTATGAAAGCTCAATTTAGTTGTTAAGCTGGAATATAGGGAAAGATTAAACCACTCCTGCCTTAATCGTGATGTGATGTGAGTGATGAACCTCATCCTCATTCTGATAAAGGTTTCAGCATAAAAACCATTACTATAGTACAAGTATGAAAATATCAGACACCCTCTGTTTAGACAGAATTAATCTGTGGGGGTGGGCAATGATTTTTTCCAAGTGGCAATAAATAAAGCAAAATTGAGTTCAGCTTAGTGGTGCAGCCCTCAACAACAATGCTAAATTCTCATCTAGCTTCTTGGGAAAATTAATTGGCCACCCTGACACAGAAAGCTTCCCTGAGAACTGGCTTTGGGTTTTTCCTTTCCTTTCGCAAGTTTGCTTGGTACGGCAAAAACACAAAGATTGCTTACGCTGCATGCGTCACTGTTGTTACAGAGTTCATTATTAAGCAGTTTAGTTGAGGTTTTTGGCACAGTTGCTCTTTGGCGGTGACATTGGTGACTGATCTGCACAAAGCTCAGATTACAAACTTCTATTCAATAACAGTTCCATAGTGATAAGCAGGAAGAATGAGAAGGTGTTGCCAGCAGCTCAGATTAGTATTTTCTAACATACTGTATGTACCCTAAGCTCCACAGTGAAATGTGTTGCCTGTTAAAGCTGGCAGCTTTGTAGTCTGCCTAATCAGCTTTCTAGTGCTGGAAAAGAGTGAGGAAAGTATGGCTAGAATTTTGACACACCTGCTGGAAGGGTTGAATGAAATGTGACAGAACAACTTTGTATCGACGTATAGCAGGTACTGGTTTTAACCTTGCAACAACCTGATGTGAAATGGGTGGAGAAAGTTAACACGAAGAGATGGTTTAATCTATTAGGATTTCTTATTTATCTTTCCATGTTGGAAAAGTAAATATGGTGAACAGGTTCTTCCATTCTCGCGTTTGTGTGTGCGAAATAAGATGTGACTTTAAATTAGAATTAAGGTTGGAGAAGCCTGTGACCAGAAATGAGGAACAGAAATACCTGCTGAGAGGAAGCAGTTCTAATTACAAGAGAAATGAAACAGAAAGTCAGTCATGCAAATCATCTGATGCCACGACCACTCATCAAGCTTAGCTTCATTTACAACTGGTTGGACTCAAAGCCTCCAATTGACCCACATTATCCTACTTTGTGTGCAACATTCCTCTCCCTTCTTTAGTTGTAGTTAAAATTCTGTTTATGGACAGAAATTCTAGTTGCAACCAAGGGGTGTGACAGTGTCTGGCCTTGGAGGCCTCAGGATCACCTCTCTGCTTTTTGCAGAAGATGTGGTTCTTTAGGCTTCGTCAAGCAGTGGCCTCCAACTTGCAGTTTTTTAGCTGAGTTTGAAGTTGTTACCACTAAACCCCAGCCCATAATGAATTTAAGTTGAGCTAATGATGTAGCATCCACGAGCAGCTATCAGTGCATGTATCTTTGTGCACGGTGCAACTGCAGTGCTCTGCAATTTCATGGCCAAAGCACTAGTTAGCAGTGAAGTTTCTCTCTTAGAAATGATCTGCTACCTAGAAAAATGGCAGCAGTGGAAGAAATAGCCAGAAATGTCTAGGAGTGATTGAGGGTTGCATTGAGGGTGCATGTCAGGTTTTGGCATTAGTTTTGGTTTTGAGAAAGGTTTAACATAATATATTAATCCCATATCAGCTGGAAAATGGTGGAGTGCCCACTCCAAATTAGAGAGGAATTTCTGTCCCAAGTGGAGAAGCTTCATTATTTGGGGTCTTGTTCAAGAGTGGGGGGAGAGTAGAGAAAGAGACTGACAAACAAATTGGTGTGGTGTCAACGGAAGCTGCCTGTTGTGGTAAAGAGAGAGTCAAGCATAAAAGCTCTCAGTTTACCACAGGCTTTACGTAATGACTGAATGAATGAGATCATGAATGCCAGCAGCAGAATTGGTCTTCCTCAGTAGGATGTTTGGGCTGAGCCTTAGAAGTTAAGCAAGGAGTATGGTCGTGAGGGGCTCATACTGCTCCATATCGAAAGAAACCAGTTGAGGTAGTTTTGGCATCTGACAGTGGCACTTTTTGGGTTTCTTTAAGGTAAGGGGATTTGGCATATCCTACCTGGAGGAGATCTCAGGGAAGATCCAGGACACACTGGGAAGAGTCTGTCATTCGGCTGGCTTGGAAACAATTTAGTGTCCCACTAGAAAGGTTCGACAAGCAGCAGAAGATGGATGGATGGATGGATTTCTTATCAACAATATATTGTTTTGACATTTGTTTTATCAGTTGACTTCTGATCTTTTGGCCCTGCCCACTATGTTAGGGGATTCGGTTCAGTAAACATCAACTCAGGAAGGTAAACAGAGATGCAGTCAGTTTAGGATAGTAGGAGGCATGAGAGGAAAGAGATTATAATTTTCTCGTTTCAGATCTAAAAATAACTTCACATCCGCTGCTCTGCTGCAAAACAGATTTGGATTAATGTTTTTCTCCTCATTGGAATATACTGCTGGTTGTTTATATGGGTTTTGTGATGAAGCTGAAAAAGCATATGTAATCAGCAAAGAACTCAGAGTGGATGCTTTGATTTTCTATATTTTTTAACTTTTTGCATTTTGGGGATGAGTCAAACTGTTTTGTTGTGATGACATGACATGGAGCATGACATGGAAAGACACAAATTAGAAGCATAATACCAACAGCTTTGTAATAAATGTGATCAGGTTGAAGGTTACTAGATCAAAGTAGGCTAAGGAGACCTATTCAGGCCAAGGATGTAGGAAAGCACTTGTTATTATGTAAGATGTGTTATTAATCATACTCTAATAATGCATGAATGCAGCTCTCTTTGCATACGTGAAGATAAACACATAAGTGTTTGTGTTTATTTGGTGCAAGGAAAACTGCAGTGCATATCTGACAGCCCTGTATGTGCTATTACAGCCTTTACTGTTCAAGGGTTATAAATGTTCTTATCTGATTGTGTGTCAGTCCAGCTCTGTGTGCTTGAATGACTTTGAAAGGCATTTTGTTGCAAACACTGTCTTATTCTTCACAAAAGAAGTTGCTTCTCAGCGAAACAAACTACCAAAACTGGATTTGAATGCTATATGGCACATGCACTCTACTCCTCCCTCCAGCAACAACAGAGAATAGTGTACTATTTCAAAAAAGCACAGAAATAAGCAGAAAAGCAGGATGGTGTCTTCAGACAGTGGACAGAGAAAGGTTTCTTTGCCCCAGGTGCTATTTTACAAAATGATTAATGTATGAAACTTGAAAGCCTTAAGATGAAATATGGCTTGGAGAACAAAGATTTCTTTACCTTTCACCGCTAATTTATCAGCAGTAAAGCCCAGCAGAGATATGAATAGCATGAGTGAAATTACTGTTTGCATACCTCCAGTGAACCTTGTATTATTCCAGTGTTCTACAAAGCCTTTGGGTAGAAGTGCAACATTATACTACAAGAAGAATTCAAGATTTAAGGTGAAGATGGAAAAATGCATAGTATACTGCCAGTACCTATTACAGAGATTTTTCCTTGCAGATTATTTAAGTTGTAAATATATATTAAAAGGATTGTGTTTAAAACCTCTTATTCTAGAGAGACTTGGCAGTAATG